ACCAGATGTTCAGACCACTCCCAGTCCCATGCCTCTCCCACTGCATAAGGGACCAGTGCCCTTCCCCTAGCTCTGCCATATCAGATAGTTATGCTCCATGGCCGGCTCCCCTATTATCTCAACAGAAGAGAAAGATAGTTATTAGTCATGTTAGTTTGAAATCGGGCAGAAAAAAAATTAACAGTATTCACAAGAAATTGAACTTTTTTGGCTGTATATTTTATAAGCCTTAAAACTTGGGTATTATTATAGCAAACATCCTGCTAATTTTGACCAGTTTCTTTCTTTTTTCTCACTGTAAACCATCTTTGCAGAACTATGGTTAAAAAACCAAAACCTAAACCCCTCAGCTTCCATAGCTGGTCTGTGTATAAACAAAGTTGTGGGTGCACGTGATACTGTATCGGAGATTCCAAATGAGGCATGGCCTCATTTATGGTTGGGATTGACACTAAATATAGCAACTGGTTTTGGTTTGATGACTCATTGTTGGAGTAATCAGTTTTAAACAGAAACACTTAAGAGGTGGGGTAAGTAGACCATTTAACTCTAAAAGATGAAACTTTGTAAGTATTTGAAGTTTTGGGGAAATATCAGAGTGCTACATAACAGAACAGGCCACATATCCTGGCCCTCTGCTTTAGAAAAGGATTCAAATTCAAAATACATTATTTCCAAGAAAACACATGCCCAGTTGTATAGCAAGTTATCATGGGACAAAGAATTCTTTACCAACAGAAACTGTGATCAAACGGTTTATTATCTGCACCAAGGCAGATATCAATCATAATATCTTGATCTATACTGAATTGTTGCTAGCATTAAAGCAATTTGATAGTGTGCTTTACAATCTACCCTGATGTGGGGATGGACTCTCAACTACAGAATATACTGACCAACACATATAGGAACCAATTAGCCTAGGTCTGTCTGTGGTACACAGAATTGTTCCACCTGGCCCAACAGTAGTCTGGCAGGCTTTCGGAAGTTTAAGACAAGGCTTGTGGGGTGTAGCCTGCAGCAGAATTCAGGGTCCTTCGGCCCCAATGGACATGGTTGTTGGCAGCAGGGAGGGTGAAGGAGGGACGTGCAGGTATAGACGTCACTCGCTTTACAGCCACCCAAGCCCTGCTCTAGCTCATGTCACCATCACCGTTCAACTGGCACTACCACGCTCAGACTCCTACCACTAGGGGTGCACCGATAGAGATTTTGGGGGCCAACATTGATAGCCGATTTTTAAGGAGGCATATCGGCTGATACCAATCCAATTTCTGTGCAGCTGGTAAGTCTGGTGCTGTGGAAGGGGAGGGAAGAGGGCATGGCACAGATCAAGGCCCCCATGGTAAGGGAGGAGTGGGGCTGGGGCAGGGCAGGGCAAGGCAGGTGTGGGATGGAGCCGTGGCTCATCCAAGGGGCATGGGGAGAAGGGTGGAGGCAGCTCCTGCTGCTGCATGCTGCTAGTCTGAGAGCCAGTGGCCCAGCACTCGGCCACTCGTACTTGTACATCCAGCCCAGGGAGCATATTGAGTTTGACACCCCTCAATTAGCTGGATGGTGAAGTCTTCCAAATGCAGAGCAAAAAGGAAGAAATGTGGTTTTGGGGAGTATTAAAAAAAAAAAGAGAGAGAGAGAGAAGCATGCAACCATGGAGAAGAAAAAACTGCTACAGCACTGTACTTGAACAATGAAATGCCTACATCTAGAGTATCATGTCCTATAGGCACTGCCTCCTTTTAAGAAAGATTTGTAGGAAAGCAAATGTCCAGACATGGACACTTTCTCTCAAGTATAAAAAAAATGACATAAGTACTGGGCACATCTACACGTGCAATTAATGAGAAGCAATAAACTCCAACGCTTATTTCCGGAGTTTATTGCTCCCAGGCACACCGCTTGAACGTTCACCCAGGACCACAGCACGCTGAGCTGAGTCATAGCAGCTGTGGCTGGCAGAGGAGCCCTGGGAGTCAGCTTGCCAGCCCAGAGCTGCTCCTCCCAAGCTCAGCATGCTGCGGAGGGGCTAGCCAGCAGGCAGCCCCTGCACTGAAGCACCCTTGAGCACCAGCCAAATGCGTCACCAGCTACAAATGTGTTGCTGCACATGAAAAAAAAAAAATCTGCAGCAGGATATTACTTGTATTTACAAATGCTAAATCTGCCGCAGAATGCATTTGTTTACCACAGCCTAACAGGGCCACACATGTAGATGCTGAAACATTCACTGTGCAGCTAATTAGGCAGCTCTGCAGTAAATGTCTTGTGTAGACGCGCTCAATGACACCAAAGTAGAAGACCAGAATATAGTATTTAAATTACAAAGGGACAAAACTGACTGTTCCTCTTGCCTAGGCCTATTACCAGTGCCCACTAAAAATTACAGAGCAACCAATTTGGGAATAGATAAAATATTTATTTTACCTGATGGAATTCACTACTTAGGAAAAAAAATTATACCATGTAATTTCATAACTACTAGCACTTCGACCTATGCAAGCTAAGTTTCAAAACATAGAAGTTAATTAGCATATATTAACTCATAACATGATCACATGAGCATCATTCATTAGTAGACGTAGTATACCAGACTAAAGGGACCAGTGTCTGATCTACAACAACAAATCCTATATTCCTATGCAATCAGAATATATAGTTGATCTTAACCATACACTTCAATGATGCAATAGTATTTTGTTGTTGGGGGGAACCTATTTTGTGCTTTTTGAAGCAGGGAATTAATTATAACAGTTTAAAGAGCCCATGTGGTGTAACTGTGGGGGGGTTTATTTCAAATGTATTTTGAATTTTTTGTAATTGTCTTAATAAAACAATGCCTTAATAAAAATAATTTGCTCCAACATTCTGGAGCCTGCATCTACAATCTCTCCTGCTGAGAGTCCCAAATAAGTAAGGAATGCTGGGTTGGGCCTTGTATGGGAAGATATTCATTATCCTTCTAGGTTCTGCAATGCTCCCTGAAGCAATGAATTCAAGTAAGTATTTGAGCACCAAGTGGGGAGCAGTAAGTACCAGTACATATATCAGCTTAGTGGCTAATAGGGCTGTGAGAAGCATCAGTGGCTGATTCAATTCGGAGGAGACTCGGCCTGATTCGGGGACCGAATCTCCAAATCCGAATCAAATTGGGAGACCAAGTAAAGGCTCTGAATCGATTTGAAGCATCTGAACTGGATTCAGAAAAGCTTTGGAAAAAGATTTGGCCGATTTGGAGATTCAGCCATAGATTAAACAAGAAGCTGACAGCTGCCTAAGTCTGCTGGGGCTGGGGGACGGAGGGATTGGGACTGGGGCTGAGATAAGCTGCCCAGCCGGGGCGGGGGGGTGCATTATTCAGGGAGAGGGGCAGCTGGTGCGGGATGCAGGTGGGGCATCACTGGGAACAGGGGCTCTGCCCTGCTGCTGCTTGCCCAGCTGAAGCAGGGAGATGGGGGGCAGGATGAGGGTGAGGTTGGCCCAGGAGGAAGGGAGCAAGCAGCAGCAGGGCATAGCCCCTGCTACCAGTGCTGATACAGGTGCAGCAGCGCTGAGAATGGGGGCTATGCCTTGCTGCCACCTGGAGCAAGCCACGCCTGCATCGCGTCCCCCACACCTGCCCATGCTGGCTGGGCAAGCAGCAGGAGGGCATAGCCCCCAAGGCTCCCCATGCCAGGGCAGAGGCAGGCACAACCAGAGGAGCTGTGGGAGAAGCCCCCATGGCTGCTGTGTCTGGCCCCCGCCCTGGGCACTTAAAAAAAAAAAAGCCCGGCACTCTCCAGCACTGGCGATTGGGGGCTCGTGGCAGACCCCCTGCAGAGCACAGGACAGTGTGGGGCAGCAGTTATCGGCCTCCACACCTGACACCCTCTCAGCAGCCTCCACACCCTGACACCCTCTCAGCAGCTCATGGTGTGGGTGCAGCATAACACGGCAGAACGCCACACACTGTCCAGGAGCTGGTGTGGCTCTAGCAGTCACGCACTGGCGATTGGGGGCTCGTGGCAGACCCCCTGCAGAGCACAGGACAGTGTGGGGCAGCAGTTATCGGCCTCCACACCTGACACCCTCTCAGCAGCCTCCACACCCTGACACCCTCTCAGCAGCTCATGGTGTGGGTGCAGCATAACACGGCAGAACGCCACACACTGTCCAGGAGCTGGTGTGGCTCTAGCAGTCACGTGGAGCCCAGCAGCACTCAGCCCCAGCTCCCATGCAGTGCATGACTCCCTGCCAAGCCACGCTAGACCCGCGCCATAGGGCAGCTGCTGCATGGGTGTCAGGCGGGGGGAGCAATCCCTGCTGCCCCCAAGCACCCAGAGGCCCTGATCCCCACTGCTGCAGCTGGTGAGTGCGGGGGTTTTTTTGTTTGTTTGGGTTTTTTTAAGTGCCAGGACTAGGCTGGAGCTGGCTGGGTGATGGAATCTTCTCCCAAGGCTCCCCCCACTTGGGGAGAGGCAGGCACAGACAGAGGAGCCACCTGGCTGTGCCTGCCTCTCCCTGGAAGATCCGAATCACCAAATCTCTCTGAATCATCGCCAAATCTTCCGAAGCCAATTCAGCTGAACTGATTTGGGACAGTGATCTGAATCTCCAAATTGAATCACTGTCCTCCGAATCTGAATCAAATACTTGCCTATTCACGCAGGCCTAGCGGCTAATGCAGAGGAGACTGCTCTTCTGAGCTGCAGCATTCTCTTCCAGTCTCACTGCAACTGCTTGGCTTATCACTCTGTTCCTAGTTTAAAGCAGAGATTTCCATACCACCTGCTCTCAGAAAAAGAGCAATGGGAGAAAATGCTTTAAAAAGAGCCACTGGCTTAACAAGCAAAAATTGCACCTCAACTCCTGAACACAGAGCTAGAAGAACAGGTTGAGCAAGAGCAGTTTGGCTTTTCCCGCCCTCGTTTCTTTGCTTCAGTGGAAGCTGCGAGAATCAGATTTATTCCACCAAGTCTCAGATTCTGTTGTAAAGTAGTTGTTTAACAAACATGCACACACATTACCTTATTTAGCCATTTTAGCCCTGGTATTGTGTTAGAATTTATTTGCTCCTCCAGCCAGGGGCGCATCCGCATTCTTTCCACAGGCATGGTTACCTGCATTAGAAGAACAAAACAAGGGACAACATTAAAAAAAATGAAGATTTTTGTCTTATCAAAACAAGATAAAACTATAAGAAAAATTTGGGAACATAGTGCTTATAAGAAACATCAAAATGACCACCCCCGAGACATATCCACTCAACAGGTTCAGCACAGGCAGCGACAGCTGCAAACTGTCCCTCGTCTCAACTCTGACTTGGTAGTGGGGCCACCTCTAAGACTGAAACAACAATTCAGACTGCACTAGAGAAGGGTGCCTAATACAGCTGCACCTGCAAACTCTCTTATGGTGACAGAGCTTACAGTAGCAAAAGTTCTTTTGCCAGAACAGGTACGAGAAATACCTTGAACAAAATAAATGAAAAAAGTTGGGTTTTTTTTAACATGACTGTGGGAACATCAGACCGTTCTTTCTGCCACTATAAAGAATTGTAAGCAACTTTTTTGTGTGTGTGGCCTCAGCCTCCTTGGGTGCAGCTGTTTCTGTAAGTACAGACCTGACTGAGATTACCAACACATTTTACATTACAGTAATTCACAGAACAGCCATCCAATAACAAATTTAACTACCTGAGTGGCAAGTCTTTCCACACTCCATTGCCAGCTCTTTCAGCCATCTAATTTTTGATCTTTTAACTACAATTTTACAATTTAATACCACAGAAAGACCAATGCTTGCCAAGCCTCTCAGCTGCTTCTCAGTATGAAGTGTCACTCAGTTCAGACCCAATTCCACTTCTTTTGCAAAGTAACACTGATGTAATTTTATTGCATATACCTGTAAATTATTGACATCAAAGGGCAAAGTCTTCAACTTGCTACATAAAGCTTTAGAAATATTAACCAATTTTAGGTATCTTTGAAGGTGCCAATAATCATGTTATCTAGGAGATTACAGATTAGAGTCACACTAAACCCGTTGTTAGGGAGCTGCAATCACACTCATACTCAGGGATTTTGACTTGCTTTTTTTTTTTTTCTTCATTTTGCCATCCTACATATTCCCCTTTTCTTTCTACATAATCTCGGGTTCCACTATTCTTAAAACATACAATATTTGATCTTCCTCACACTTCCAAATGTGTGGCCAGGTATACTTTTTAAAGTAGACACCACTGACATTAAATTGGTTTGTTCTTTTTCCTGTGGGATTACTAATATCAAGCAGCCTAACAATTAAGAACTCCACACCCAGTGCAAGAGGAAGAAAAATGTTCAAGGTTTCCTCTCACTGCCCAAAGGAGATAGATTTCCTGAAACTGATGGGGAATTGTGTTCAAAACCTGAGAGCACAATAAGTCCCTTTGATATGCTTAGAGAATGGAACTACAAACGTAAAACAAGCATATTCACACTAATCTCTTAGCAAACATATTATCAGTTTATTTATTGCTGTGCAGAGCAGGCCAAAAAAATTTCAACCTTTGGCTTTCTTCGCAGTTAGAAATTCTAAAAAAACCTAGAAACGGCTGTGAGTACTTAGCCACCTTTCAGATTCAGTTCAGCTATGAATAAAATAACCAAAACTCTAGAAACTGACAATAGCTGAATTCACATGCAAAGTCTCAGCCTTCATGTCAGACCAGCCACCAAAACTGTTGTATGAGTCATAGCAAAGCAGGCTAAGTCTGCCCCACAGTAACAATATGTATGTGGTGTCCATGAAGAACATCAAGGGAACACTGCACAGTTCTCAGTATATCTTAAACTTGACTCAGGGCAGATGCACTGAATATTGTGTGATAGAAATTATATACGTGTTTGGAGTGAAGCCTAAATGAAATCTCTCTGAAATGTGTTAAGGGCATGTTTTACATATACTAAAAGGACACAACGAAGGAGATCCTCAAAAATAGCCCCCTTCCAGGCTCACTGCTCTACCCAGCAAGGCTCCATCTCCCTGCAACTGCAGCATATAGCCAAAGCAGAGCAACTAGACATTTTTTATTACTAGTTAACCCCTCCCCCTCCCCCCAAGTAATTTCCTTTCATCTGGCCCAGAAGATATGAGACAAGCAATAAAAATGGTGGGTGCCTTCCTCTATCGGGGTGCTCAGCCTCTGATCCATGTGGCCTGCAGAGCTACTGCATCTGGCCATGGGGTTCCCCAGAAGTCAGGAAATTTGGCACCAAGGAAGCAGTGGCCATTAATACTGCCAGCCTCCCTCCCTGTCAAATTCTCAGGTCCCCTCCCCCAGCACAGCCAGATCAGGGCCAGGCCATGCCTGCTTCCCCCTATGGGGCTGAATTGGGGCCCGGCCACTACCTCTACCCCCGCGCACAGCTGGATTGGTGCCAGACCATGCTCCTCCCCCACAGCTGAACTTAGGCCAGACCACACTCCTTTCCCACTGCAGGGCTGAATCAGGGCCAGGCTGACCCCAAGTCCTTCCATGTGGCCAGATGGGGTCCTGCCGCACCTGTCTAAGAACTCATATTAGAGCATCAGTCAGATCCAGCCAATGGATGGACTAGGCACTGCCTTCCTGGTCCACCAGGGAAAAAGGTTAGGTATCACTGCTTTATACCACTGTACCCAAATATGTATATACATTTGGTGCAGCCCTCCAGCATAATCAATGTTCAAAGCTTGGGCACTCACACTTACCATTGGGACGTACTGTATGCGTTTCCTTATAAACCCAAAGAATCAAGACAAAATGTCAGACCTACTTTTCTTAGACTAATCACCCAAGAGGCAAAGAGGAAGAACAGATCTGTAAAGAAGCAGCAGCAAACTGCACTTGGGGATGCTCTGAGCTGGAAGAAGAATTTGCTGTCATTAGGAAGCACTATTAAATTCCTTTTCAGAGCACAGGCCAGAAAAGCTGCTTAACACCACCAGTGCAGAAGAAGAGATAGTCTTGTTTGCCATGAAAAACAAGAGTTCTGGCTCTCTCACTTTCCCCTCACTCAAGAGGAATACCCCCAGTTGTCTGCTCTGCTGCTTTCTCTAGGTGCTTCAATGCTTCTTTCCTCTTCTCCAAAGTAATGGCCTTCTAGTGGAGAACTGGTGCCTGCCACTGACAGCACAGAAAGTCCACAGAAATTAGACTAATCATAGAGTCAAAGAAGTAGGGCTGGAAGGGACTTCCAGTGATCATCTAGTCCAACCCCCTGTCTGAGGCAGAATCACCCCTATCCCAAACCATCCCATACAACCATAATCTAAACCAAGGGTGGGCAAAATGCAGCCTGTGGGCCAGATGTGGCCCACCAGACCATTCTATCCGGCTCGTGGAAACCCTAAAAATTTAGAAAATTTATATTTATCTGCCCCTGGCTGCCTGTCATGAGGCCCTCAATGGCTTGCCAAAACTCAGTAAGCGGTCCTCTGCCCGATATAATTCTCTCCCATCCCTCAACCCGATCTAAACTCTGCATACGGTTATCCTCAACCCTAACACAACATAGACCTAAACCCTAACCTGTCACAGGTAAAGCAGGGGAAATACAGCAGCCAATGTCCTGCTTCTATAAACTGTTGTCAATATACGCTCAAGAGATCCCAGGTAGCGGGCCATACTCCCCACTACAGAGGAAGGCAAAAACCCCACAGTCCATACCAATCTGACATTGTAGTAAAATTCCTTCCTGACCCCAAATATGGCGACTGGTCTGACCCTGAGCAGAGGGGCAAGACCCGTTAACCAGGAACCTCTGGTTTTGCTCCTAACAGGAAAATCAGCATACACCAGTTGAAGTCCCCAGCCTTAACCTCTAGGGAGGCTTCAAAATACCCTGACACATATAGCAGAAAAAAGGAAGGGGTTGTGTGGGAGCAACCAGTGAAGCCCAGAAGCATAGGAAATACCCATTGTAGTAAATAGGCATAGCTACACCTAGATCATCCTGGAGCAGTGGCTATCCCACCTCTTCTTCAACTCCTCCAGTAATGGAGAGTCCATAACTTCCCTAGGCAGTCTATTCTAATGTCTCACTATTCTAATAGTGAAGACATTTTTCCAGATATTTCCAATTTAAAATTTACTTTGCTGCAACTTCAAGCCATTGGTTCATGTCCTCTCTGAAGCAAGAGAGAAAAGGTGCTTTCCCTCTTCTTTATGGCAGCCTTTCAAGTATGTGAAGATTGCTATCACGTCCCCTCTTAAGCGCCTTTTCTGCAAGCTGAACATGACAGGTCCTTCAGCCTCTCATTGAATGACTTGCCCTTCAAACCTTTGATCATCGTTGTTGCCTGCCTCTGGACCCTCTTTAATTTCTCCATGTCCTTTTTAAAATATGGAGCCTAGAACTGCACACAGTACTCCAGATGAGGCCTAACTAGTGCCAAGTAGAGAGGCACTATCATCCCGTGTCTGGCACCTAATGCTTCTACCACTGCAGCCCAAAACCGTATTTGCCTTTTGTGCCACTGCATCACACTGCAGACTCATATCGAGTCTGTGATTCACCAAGACTCTTAGATCCTTTTCCATAGAGCTGCTATCCGGCCAGGTATCCCCCATTTTGTATTTGTGTTTTTGATTATTCCTCTTGAGGTGTAGCACACCTTGCATTTGCGCACATTGAGCTTCATCCTGTTAGCTCTAGCCCAACTTTCCAATATGATCCTTTCGAATTGCACTTGCATCTTCCGACATGTTCACAATCCTTCCCAGTTTCATGTCATCTGCAAACTTGCTCAAGAAGCTTTCTATGCCAGCATCCAAATTGTTAATAAACACATTGAACAGCCCTGGGCTCAAGACAGGCCCCTATGGGGACTCCACTCAAAACCTCCTGCCATTCTGATATGGACCCATTAATAATTACTCTTTATTGAGCCAGTTATATATCCACCTTGTAGTAGTTTTATCCAGCTCACATTTTTCCAATTTGTTTACAAGAAGGTCATGTGGGACCTTGCCAAAAGCTTTGCTGAAGTCCAGATACACTATATCCACCCAAGCATTTACTCTGTCAAAGGAGATCAGATTTGATTTTCATTAATCCATGCTAGCTGCTTGCAATCAGCCTTTCCTCCTCAAGAT